CCTCCGGAGGACCCAGCCTGTCGTTTTGGACACAGCCAATATTTATTAAAACTCTGGTATGAAAGGCAGGAAGTAATATGCATTCTTTCAAAGACAGTTAGGCCCTTAATTTGAATTGTAACTCACTTGTTACTACTAACATCATTAAAGCAGAATAGTAATAAACAAAGATAGTATGAACATATGCTATTTTTGTGAGGTGACGTGAACACCTTCCAAAAATACTAATTGTGGTGCAGTTGTTCTTTTGTCTCCTGATGCCTTATATTATTATCAGTGTGAATGCTTCTGCATTCACACTATTGTTTTCATGTTTCTCTTTATCAGAGATAAAGATAAGAGATAAGAGATTTCTACTGTGATTCGTTTCCCATCCAAGYCATCTCCACCTCGGCACGTTTCTCCTCCTAAATACTAATAACTACTGTATATATAACTCCTATAACTGCCATTGTAATTTAYATCTGTAAAGCTCCTGTGCCAAATGATGGCTATGTCTTTTGGTGCCTGTACAACTTATAGTTTTTGAAATATTAATGTTTAAAATCATATAATGGAGTCAATAGAGCCTTGTATTGGTCCACTAATGCCCCCTGCTATATCTACTCAACTTGGTACTGCACAATTGTATATTAATATTTAAACTCATTAGTTCAATGATTACAGTACTAATATAATTGTATTTTGATTTTTTACTTTAATATTGTCCTAATATTGCTCTATTGCTGTAATATTTTGCAGTTTAGTGTCAACAATTGCATTGGCAATGTGGCCTCTTTCTGCACACATACAAACCAACCCCTGGCAGTACCCTTTGCCACAGCTCCTATGGTCTCATGGTTAGTGCCATGAACTTTCATGTGGGAGACCAGGGTTCAAAACCCAGCTACAGCAACTTTAACAAAAAATCTCTACAAACTTCATATTGTCACACAATTACCTTCATTACAAACACCTGCTGACTTGACAGACATAAGCTGGTATAAAAACACACATTTGAACTTGGTCACAGTTCATTCTGCAAGTCCACTGCTGCAGGCAAAGCCATGCTACATGGCAGTGTACACTTGTTTTTACGTCGTAAAAACCCATGTCTGGTTTTCATTGTTACTATCACTATTCCGTACGTTTTTTTGGACCCTATCTCCTTCCACAATTTTTGTGCTATTTAAACCATTCATATATCAAAATGTTCAGCTCTCTCTTGCCATTCCGGCAWTGATTTATAATATCTTTAATCTTTATACTTTTCTAGCTATTTAAAATTTTAATCAGTTTTTTTCCCATTGACTTTGAATGGGTACACTTTTTGGATGGCTTCTCCTTCCAGTATTTTTATGTTACTTAAACCCTTCATATAACAAATTGTTCAGCTCCTTCAGGACATTCCGTCTGTGATCTTTGGTATCTTAAAATTTTACAGTTTTTTTTAGCAATTTCAATTTTCAGAATTTTGATGATGATGATGTCATCAGTCACATCATCAGTCACATCAGTGACATCATCAGTGACATTATTAATTTGCTTCTTAAAATACGTACTTGTTATAATTTGGTTTATTTCATTTTAAATCAATAAAGTTTTATGTTTGTCAGAAGTACCCAATGAAGGAGATCCATCCTGATGGGAAGGACTCAGTATGGGACGCCAAGACGGGCTTCACTATCCCCACTCATCTGATCAGCTACGCCGGCGTCGTGTCCTGCCAGACCCGAATAGGAAACGAGACATTTAATTCTCCTCTCTACATTGTGGCTGTTGTTGGTAAGATGGAAGTGGACTCACATATTCATGTATGTTTCTGTACTTGACTGCAACATGTTACTTCTGTGTATATTTCTTTACAATCATCAAGCCAATAGTGCACTAGAAAGAATTAGTGATATGGTAAATGATACAGTAAATATGAACGTGGATAGTGCTTAATTCTCTTTTTTTGTAGGCCGTCAACAAAATGATAAGTTTCGAATCCACATGTAAACAGGGACTTTGTGTTAGCAGGACTAMGTTTGTGGAGAACAATAGCATGTCCGCTGACTGTTGTGCCTTCCCCTCCCTTTTCCGCAGGATACAAGATTTATGACCTCACTGTGACCCCCCTACAGCAGAGGCTCTCTGTGGAGGAGCGGCTGATACTCAGCTGCACTGCTCACACTGARCTCAACGTGGGCATCGAATTCAACTGGACACACTCCAGAGGGGCTCTGGTAAGTGCCCAGATCGCTGCTCTTAACATGAGTGAAACTATGTGACACCCTTCTGAGAACAAAGTTTTGACTCACTGCTGAGGAAWATATTCAGGACTTACTATTTGTAGGAATCCTTCAACCATTCTCTGTAACTTTACTTTATTGTAATTGCCATAATAACAACAGTTATGAATAGCAACACAATTTTGATGGAGTATCATACACATACACAGTAACAAATTAGCACATACAGTAAGTAATGGTGTGAAAATGACCTTTGTAAATATCCTGATGCATCTCAGTAATCCAGAATATTAAAAAGAAAATTAAGTAGGTCCTCTGGACAGATTCTTTAAAGGGATCAACGATTAGTTGTAACGTTAAACTTTATTTGATAAACATATATTTTAACTGTAAAATAAAGACTGTAAAAATACTGTAGGATGTTTAGTTTTGTAAATTTTAAAAAATTATATTTAACACGGACTGAGCCATTTTATTTACACACAAAGCATTCTGG